AGCTAAAGAATTTCATGGTGACAAAAGCAACCCTACACAGGCTACTGAAAGATGTTCTAGAGAGGGACCAAAATAATCAGAACTCCACGAATGAGATCAGAGGCAACCAACTAAATAGGGCAAGCAATTAAACACAGGAGGAAAAAGGAGTAAACAACAACAGGTAAATAACATGTCAGTTGTAAGTCAATACATCTCAAATCTAACCATCAATGTAAATGGACTCAATTCACCAATTAAGAGAAATAGACAGGCTTAATGGATTAGGAAACAAAATCGAACAATATGCTGTATACAAGAAACACATTTAACTCATAAAGACATCCAAAGGCTGAAAGTCAAAGGATGGAGCACAATACTACATGCCCCAGCACCTCAGAAAAAAGCAGGGGTAGCAATCCTATTCTCAGACAGTCTCAAATTCAAACCAACAATGGTCAAACGAAATAAAGCAAGCCATTATATACTGGTTTGGGGGAAAAATTCAAGAGGAAGAGGTAACACTCATAAATATGTATGCAACAAACACGGGAGCACCCAACTATATAAAGCAAATTTAAATGGACATGAAAAATCTAATATCCAATACCACAATCTTAACAGGAGACCTTAACACCCCCTTATCCCCAAAAGATAGATCAACCAGACAAAAACTTAGCAAAGAAATAACAGAACTGTACCAGAGCTTGAAACAAACGGACTTCGTGAACAAATACAGAGTGTTCCACCCAAACACAACTGAATACACATTTTTCTCAGCTGCACATGGGTCATTTTCTAAAATAGACCACATACTGGTCCATAGGTCAAGCTTAAGTATATGAAAGAAAACAGAAATTATCCCATGCACAGTATGTGACCACAGTGCAATGAAACTGGAAATAAATGACAAAAGAAACCAGAAAAAACCCTTAAATACATGGAAATTAAATGACACCCTACTCAGCAACCAATGGGTAACATGAAATTAAACAAGAAATCCAACAATATCTACAATTCAATGAAAATTCAGGCACAACTTATCATAATTTGTGGGATATGATGAAAGCAGTTCTTAGAGGGAAATTCATAGCTGTGAACTCACACATTAGGAAAACAGAATGGGAACAAATAAACACCCTAATGCTGCACCTTCAACAACTAGAGAAGGAAGAGAAAACCAAACCCAAAGCCAAAGATGGGAAGAAATCATAAAGATTAGAGCAGAAATTAATTCAATTGAGACAAAAAAAACAAT